TGGCGCTCGTGCCCTTCCCACCCGTGAGGGTGGAGTTCGTGTAACGCCCACTTATGTAATGAGCCTGTAAGGGTAAACGGTGAGTGTGTTCGTGCGTATGTGTCTGTTTTAGGCCAGAAAATGAGGAAATAAATGGTAATCTTCTTACGCCGTAAGCTGCCGGTCTGCTGTCAGTACTTAGACAGCTTTTCGGCATGTAATTTAACTTCCTGTTAAGTTACTTACAGGTGAAGATTACAAAGAGTTTAAACACACTCGAGAGCAAACGTCACTGCTGCATGCAACTGCGTCATTTCACTTCTTTTTGGGGACAGATTTATTATTGACTTATTTGTATTATTTTTATGAGATGCCGTCGTTTAAATGCAGGGCTTAATGACAATACTAAGAATAATAGATGGCTATGTGTATAAAGGCCTTGCAGATAGATAGATAGATAGATAGATAGATAGATAGATAGATAGATAGATAGATAGATAGATAGATAGATAGATAGATAGATAGATAGATAGATAGATAGATAGCCATTTTATTTTATTTTTCTAGAATGATAATTTTTATTAAGCTTGTATATTTAGGTTCAGTAATTTCACTTAAATGACAATTAATAGGTAATCTCCATTGCCATTTAAGTGAAATTACTGAACTTTAATATACATGCTTGATAAAAATTATAATTCAATATATATATATATATATATATATATATATTTTTTATATTTATATTTAATTATAGCTGCTTACATATTATATTATGGATATATGGGTGGAAACACTCTATTTACAATTTGTATGAAGTTTGGTTTATGTTAAGTATAATTTTTTTAATCAACCTAAAGTACCTTGCATACAACAATCATCATATATACACATTTTATATCAGTATTACTTATGCTGTATATTCAAATTTAAACTAAACTACAATTTTTAACATTTAATTTTGAATGAAAAAGTTAAGTTTAATATATATTGTGTCTAATGGTGCCTTCTTATAATTCCTTCAAAGAAAAAAAATACATTCTAAATCCCAAAACATGTTTTGCTGGTCCCAGGAGATAATCAGTAATTTGTCCTGAACAGTGACATGCAAATACCTCTTGCCAAGCCACATTTAAAAACAAAACAATCTAGAACATGAGCTACAAAAATCACACCCATACTGCCAAACAAAAGCTCTGACAAAACAATCAGCCCAGAGTCACATGGACATGCTGACAGAGCACAACAGATGCGTGCGCGCACACACACACACACACACACACACACACACACACACACACACACACACACACACACACACACACATATATATATATATATATATATACTGTATATATACATACATACATACATACATACATACATAGATACACATACACTGTATCATCAGTGCTTTATAAATTACTATTATTGATTCCATCGGTTCCATTGATGTCCATGGTTAATCTTTACAGCACTATTTAGTGGCAATGTCATAGTTCAGTTATCTCATCTGGCCTTAGGTCATGTCTGTATGTAACTGCACTTCAGACCAGTGATGACACATAGCCTTTGTAATTACAATGTGTGGTGTACTATGGTATTGTATTCATTGTGTAATAAGTATATAGTTTGATTTGAATGGTTTGCACCCATTAAAAAACAAATGGTTACAAAGATTTGTGCTTATCAGGTCCAAGGATTTTAAATTGTCAGGGAAATATTATATGGGGAGTATGGGAAACTCATCCCCTAAGATCCAGTATGTCATTGAGTAAATCAGATGCATACAGTCACTTTTCTAAGGACTATGGTATCCTCAGTTAACCTTGTCATGTTGGTCAGCCACAGTAATAAGCTAAGCTCAATGCTGTTAAAATGCTCTTCTGTTCTACAAGCTTCTTTAAGGGCTTGAACTGACGATGAACTAAAACCCCCATGACATACGCAGACTGATTTGCATGTGTATTTAGGTTAATGAAAAGCAGGAAGCTTTAAAAAGTGACACCATCAAATAGGGTGACCATATTTTGATTACCAAAAGCCAGGACACTTGGCCCGGCAAACAGATACTCAAATAATACTTGAAGTTTACTCAAAGATGACTTATTCATTTCAATACATTTAAATTAGGCTATGCCTCCTCTGTATGGATAGGAAATTGTTATATTACAAGATAATCAGATAGGCTTCTTCATATTCAGATAGGTTACTCAACATGTTTTATTGCGACAGGTTTCAAAAATAATGAATGAAATAATGATAGAAATTATGTTTCTTCTGTATTAGAAAAATAATTATATACATAATAAATAACTAAAAGAAATACCTCCAAATTGAACAAAATAGCTCTCACAAACTTACAAAAACGAACCAACAAAATATATTTATATCTATATCTTATATCTTCCTCATCCAACTTGATTGCCAATCTGTTTATTTCCCAGCAGTTTTTTGAAAACCAGCGCATTTTAATCACTTTATAAAAAAAAACAGCCTGGGCGGTCAGGACAGGACACGAAAACAGGACTGTTGGTCACCCTATCAAATACTGCATGTGTTACATTAGACAACTTGTGTTTAGAACAGGTCTTTTTGATTCTGATTGAAACCGAAACAGTGTAATGAACAACTTTGATGTATTTTTTGTAGTCTGAGAGGGAATCAATCCATTTTTACAGTTTATAATAAGCATAACTGAAACAGAAAGTCCTAATAATATATTTTAAATTCAATGAGAAATGCTAAGCAAATTGCCCAGTTCTATTGACAAACACGTTTCACCAACAGATGGCAGCATATTTGTTTTCATTTTACATACATGGACATTTCAGTTCATAAAATTGGATTTATTTTTCATAATAAACATATTTGAAGTATGATTTTCATATAGCAGGCATATTTCCTGTAACAACACTAACGTTACAGTAAATGATGCACTCCAACCACTGTTAATATATAGGCTAAAGTGATGCTTAAGAGGGTCTAAACGTGGATCAATAGGCTGTTGATCCACCTCTACCTGTTAAGCAGAACTCGCTCTAACTTGTGTTGCTAGAAGGGAGAAAAGTGGTGACGATTTACACTATTTCCTATATCCTACACAGCCCGACTTGTGGTTTGAGCCCCACCAATAAGAAGTATTAAACCTAGCTATATCTGGTGTGACGCTTGAACCCTCGCCAGGCCTGGTGGACGCATTAGGCACATTCACACCTATGATAACTGGTAGATAACTGTCTATAAAGATAACTATATAGTGGTAACTAAATTAGCGTCCACACCAGCGGGTGATGTTGTTTATTATAAGCGCATGCTTGTTTGTCACTTTAAATGCTCAAGCAAAGAAGGATGGATTCTGATTGGCTGTCAGTGTTTTTATCATTCGTCAGCTAGAAAAAAAAAATCATTCTGAAAGTGATTCCAACGATATTGTTTCTCTGTGCCGTTATCGTTATAGCTGTGATGTGGACTGCTATTTTATATTTAGTATTTTTTTAGATCTATATTTTTATTGTTACCATTATAGTTATCAACCGAACAGGCTTTCATACTCGTTTCCACCCGACACTCTCACTTATGGGGTTAGAATTGTTACATTATAGATTATAATCCACAAGAGATTCAAATAAATAAATAAATAAATGTTTCAAAAAGTCCACAAATGTCTGCGGTGAATCACAAGTAGTGAATGCCAGGCAGAGTTTTGTAATAACATAATAACATATTTCTTTTTATTTGGAATGGAACAATTCTAACCCCACACTTGCTCCTCTGTGACTGTTAGATGTGGCCTTGTATGTCCGAGGAAGTTCAGTGCACCTAGAAACTCTGAGGTGACATAAGCTGCGCTTGTTGTTGTGACTTTTATTTTGACGACAGCAGACCTTTATTTTGATGGTGCTGAGAACACCGGAGCCTGAGCTCACAGTGCTCACATTCTCTGTGTTCATTTTTTGTACAAAATATCTAACAGATAGAACTTTTGGACATAGACAGTAGACAGTAATGCAAAGGTATAAGTGTATGCCGTGTGGTTTATGTCCAGTGCTAGCTGAGCAGAAATACATAATGTTTGACTTGGTCCCCTATCAATTTGCCTTGGGTGTTCTCCTCAGCGTAAAGGTTAAGGGTTTAACCTGTTAACACTGTTTTCCATGTTCATAGAGCTGGTTTCTGGACAAAATATAGGCAATAATCTGTGTGTTTACCCTTTTACTGTCTATCAGCCTTTTAAAAAATGGTGGTGTTTTGCGTGCGTTCAGCCAATCAGCGTACACTAACGTCACTGGAGGTAAATTAATTCCTCGAAAAAGTCCTAGTTCCTAGTTCCTGTGGTGCCAACATGCCAAGATCTGGGAACTTACGCCAATAAGGTTCCTCCAGTGCGAAAGCCCTTGTTCAGACACAGTCTCCCTGAAGGCATGAGGTCCTCAGTTCATCTTCCAAGACTGGAAGGCATTCTTCTCCCTCCTAGGTATATGTCAATCAGCCTTTTTTCTGGTTACCAGTCTCAGACCAACTACCAGGTTGACTGGGAGTCTCTGGATCAGGACATCATCTTGGATTTGGGCTTACCATCTTCCACACAGATTTCAATTACTGGATTAAAAATAATTGTGATATTTGACCTCATCAAAAAATGTCAGGGGGATCCAACTGTCTAGATATCACCTGGAAAAAAAGAAAGAATTAATCTGAATGTTTTAAGTTTGGGCATTTTATACATTTTTATGTAAAATTTTAATTCATGAATATTTTGTCTAATTTTATCATTGAAAGACTGGTCAGCCAAGACAGGGAGTTCGTTGCAGTTCTTGAAAAGTAGATTCGGTTCAATAAAATATAGGGGACTTTGAGCTTTATACCCTTGCAGATCTTTTTTATGCTCAAAGGCTCAAACAGCAGCAATTGTCCCTTTTAAACAAATACCGGTATCTACTTGTTATTCACAAAACGACATACTTTGAGGGCATGCTATACGTAATCGAATTTTTTGGTCATCCTTAGTCGTGTTGGTATCATTCCAGTTCGACTCGCGATTTAGTTCAAAAGAACCGATTCAATGATTCGCGATCACGAATCAAACATCACTAAAAGAACAAACAGTCCGTCTGCCAGACCGGTGAGCTGAATGAAATGAGGTGAGGAAACGGCATGTGTTAATATACATTATGTCTGGTGTTTTTGTGTTATTCACATCTAAATAGTATTTGTTTACGTTTTTATTTGCATGTAATGTTGGCTAATAATGTTACGTTAGTGACTTGCTTTGAGCAGTGGATTAGCTGATGAGCTAGTTAGCAGCAAAGCTAATGCTATAAAAAAATAAACCAAGCAAATATCCTATCGCAATACTGATTTATTTATCAATTTAAAGGTTAACACCATTGTAGTGCAGACGTTACATATCTCCACAACCTTCATGTAATGTTACTTTTAATGCAATTACATATATATATATATATATATATACATACATGCATACACTGCTATTAATATTCTTACACATGTTTCCGTTCATGCCTTTATTGATGATGTTGTCATGAAAAGATCATGTGGTCATGATTCACAGTTTAATTGAGGATTTAAGCAGTCCTGGACTATCTGTTGATGATGACATTTTGTTTATTGAAAATAATTTGTGATATGTTATTAATGATTTAAATTTAAAACCGCAATTGAGAGGGAAAAACTGTAAGCACACTGAAACTGTTTACTCTCATCTGCCTTTAGTCAAGTCAGAACTATTGGAGCATCATAACTATCAGCCTAAACACTTGTCTCATCAGCAAGGGCACATGCTTTAATTTGTGTGTGCTTGTGTCTTCCAGCAGATCAGGTTTCTGACCCCTCCATGGAAGAGGCCAGCGATGAGGGGCTTTTACTCAAAGCTGGATACCTCATCTTTGGGCATGTCTGTGCCTCTGAACCTGGCCGTGGAGACTGAGAAAGCTCAGGCCCTGCTCCAGACCTTCAGCACTGCCTCTCTGTTAGCCAGCGCAGGCCTGGGCGCTTTCTCCTTCCTCATCGACCACTTTCTGACGCTCCCCTTCATCCAACACCATCTGTGGCTCAGGGCTGTCCTTGATAACGCCGTCCATGGCATCATCGGACTCTGGTCCTGGGCCATCGTGATTGGGTTGAGGAAGAAAAGTGACTTCTATGAAGTCGTCTTGGCTGGGTTTCTGGCCTCTATCATTGACCTGGACCACTTCTACTTGGCTGGATCGTTATCGCTCAAAGTGAGACCTATTTGTGTCTTATATTAGCATCTGAAAACTGATTATTATTAATTTTTTCACTTGTACTTAAACGGTAATTACTTGCGTACACCGATTCCTAAATATTAAGTTAGGTGCCTGTGTAGGTAAGTCCTTAACTTTTTAAATGGTACAACAACGTCTTCATAATAATTATGCGTTGTCTTAAGTTTGGAGATGGACAAACATGAATCGCGATATAGCCTAATGCGCTCATTAAACTTCAAAAGACTGATTTCATTAAATAAATATGAGCGCTGCACGCTTCAGACTAAACGCTTGTAAATTTCTCTTTGTATCCCTTTATTAAGGAAAACGCATTCATTGATACTGTTTCACTGAAGTTTTCTTTTAATCCGTTCTTAAATATTTCATCTTAGCAGCATGTGATCCCTGGGGACAAAAACTAAGTGTCAAGCCCTGTTATTAATAATATAATAATCATAATTGGAATGAACAATTATTCTGGCAAGTAAAATAATCTATTATCCTGACCATAAAGGTTTGCCTGGAAACATAGCAGCTTGCCTAGAAACATAGCAATTTTTTTTTAATTAATTTTAGAGCCTCTTATGCTACATTTATACAGAAAAGTTGGCACAGAATTGTTTCTTTAGTGGCGTTTAGGTGTCTTTGCATAAACTGTTTAATGCTGCTCAAAGGAGCCATATACACACTTGCATTACAACTCTATTTTGATACTATAGTATGGGCTGAAGTGGGTCAGTGCAGGTATGATTTAGTCTGGCCTTTGTGGCATTTTGTCTCTTTACACTGAATTTTGAGCAGACATAGAGCAGCCTTAAAGGGTTAGTTCACCCAAAAATTAAAAATATTGTCATTAATTACTCATCCTCACGTCATTCCAAACCTGAAAGACTTTCGTTCATCTTTGGAACACAAATGAAGCTCTTTTTGATCTGAAAGATTTCTGTTCCTCCATTGACAGCTACGCAACTACTAAAAGCTACACTAAGTTCAAAAGGAGATTGTAAAACTAATCCATAGGAATTGAGCGGTTTTCATTGAGAAATTTCCCGAAGAGACTCGATCGCTTTATATGATGAACAGATTGTATTTAGGCTTTTATTCATGCATAAATATTCATCAACTCTCACATCACATCAGTTATGGTAAAGGGAAGCTCAAGCATGTTCGCTAGATGTGCAAGAACTAATGAGGTTTATTCTTGTTACGCAGCATGTTTGATAGGGCTGGGTAATAAATATCGATTTCTCAATATTAATCGATTCTCATTTTTACGAACCGATATCGATTCTTAAATCTCAAAAATCGATTAGTCATCCTGTTTCATTTGAATGAATGGAACATTGTATCGCAGCTCCGCGCATCCAAAAAAACGTTCTAGATAACTCTAGAGCATCGCTCTAATAACTCGAGAGAGTTATTTATATATTTTGCTAAATATGTACATCATATTACATATGCATTATAATCTTAATGTTCTTCAATATTTAATGCATATTTGAATAAATCTGGCAAGTTTTTTATGACAGCCACCATATAAATGTTTATATTTGATATAATCTTCTTATTATAAAAAATAAAAAAAGTATAATTTAAGTGTTTGAAGGTAATAATGAACTGTTTTGTAGCTATACAAATTAGGCTAATGAAGCCTAGTAGGCTACAACTAGACTCCCATAGTTTACAGCACTAGTTAGGAGATTTGATTTCCTTGAGAAAATTTGCCATTTATTATAACTGATATCCAAAATAATCAATATTGAATTGAATCGAATCGGGATCGAAATTGAATCGAATTGCAAGCTTGTGAATCGAAATCGAATCGAATTGTGAAATTTGTGTCAATACCCAGCCCTAATGTTTGAGCTTTTGCAAGAACCAATGAGGTTCATTCTCGTGTTTTGAAGGGTTGGACGTGTCATTTTGGGCTTTTTACGATACCGGTGCCAAATTGATATATTTAAACATCTGTAGAAATAATATTGCACATGTAAATAGCAATACTTCGTCATAGAAACTGTAACATGGGAAACAACGCTGAACATAAAATACCTGTTTTGTTACTCCAACCGGCCCCAAGCGTCAGCAGCAACAGCACATTCAAGTTTGCCTTCGAAGAGAGGGAATACTAAAGTGGCCCCTTGAGGAAGTTCTAGATGTCTTTATCCTGTAATAAAAACATGACAAACTATTTAGTGTCTAACAGTTCAAATGATGATGGTTTGCCACCTTTCTTTTTAAGCATAAGCTCATAATGGAAATAGAAAATGCTGCTTGATATTGTTTTTCCAGATCTCTATATTGAACTTGCGGAATCAACAATAAAATCTATGTTAATTTAACGACAAGCAGGTGAAAGAGACACATTTAGCCGTTTAGCCCCATAGACTCCCATTCATTCTGCTCTCGCCCGCGATCACCCCCAGTGGAATTCTAATGGAACTGCAACCAGGATGATACACAATGGGGCTAATAGGAAGTGCCAAGGCTCTCCGTTAGACGGGCTCTGGTCACGGCCACAATGATCAGACACACCTGAATTAATCAAACTTGGCCAATAATGGCAGACAGGAAACAAAGGAGCTGGCTTAAGTTCAGGAAGTAGTGCAGCTGTGCATAAAGCCAGTTGCACTGATGCTACCAGGTTATGGGATGGGCAAAACACTCAACCTTTAAATGCTTCAAAATCTTCAGTGCAACATTCATATTGCTGGTGTTGTCTACTGTAGCAGCTACAACATTTGTGTGTATCTGGAATTTCTCTAGATTTATCTTGTCTGCCACCAGGAGGCCTGCCTGTGACTCATACACAGCTTTGTTGTCTAGCACCTTCTTAATGTGGCCTTCACTGGTAGGGTTGGGTATCGAGTATCGATTGGAACCGAGACTAACTTTTCGTTTTTCCCGGAATCGTTCAAAAGTTAAAATTTCGATTCCTAGTTTCGATATTCACAGTCCGCCGAGCGGAAGAAGAAACCGCTGAACAACACCAACGAAGAAGCGTCTACCGGAAGTGTTGGCATAACCACGCGAGTCGTACATGAGTACCTTACGTCGGCGATCCAAAGTGTGGCTTCACTTTTCTAGAAATAACGAAATCTCGGCAAAATGCAAAATTTGTGACAAAAGGAGTATTTTTACAGAAGGAGTATTTCCTTCAGAAAGACCGTTGGTTAGCAAGGTTAGCTAAACTTTTTTGACCCTGCCTTTTAAAAGAATCAGAATTGAGAATCGTTAGGAACCGGAATCGAAACAAGGAATCGCAATCAGAATCGTTCAAATTCAAACGATACCCTGGTGTAGTGCACCGTAACTGTTAAATGGTGGTCCTGTGCCACTTGAAGCAAGAACCAATCAGGTTTGTTCTTGTTAGGCAGCAAGTTTGAGCTTCAGCAAGAACCAGTGAGGTTCATTCTCATGTTGCGTAGCACGTTTGAGCTTCAGCAATAACCAATGAGGTTCATTCTCGTGTTACGCAGCACGTTTGAGCTTCAGCAATAACCAATGAGGTTCATTCTCATGTTACGCAGCACGTTTGAGCTTCAGCAATAACCAATGAGGTTCATTCTCATGTTGTGTAGCACATTCGAGCTTCAGCAAGAACCAATGAGGTTCGTTCTTGTGTTACGCAGCACGTTTGATCTTCAGCAAGAGCCAATGAGGTTCGTTCTTGTGTTACGCAGCACGTTTGAGCTTCAGCAAGAACCAATGAGGTTTGTTCTCGCATATACCAAGCAGGTTCGTTTAAACTTTTGTTTGTTCGCTGATCAATGATTAAAAAAGGCTAAATTAAATCTGTTCATCATATAAAGTGATCAAGTCTCTTAAGAAAATATTGACTAAACCATACAATTCATATGGATTCATTTTAGATCTCTTTATGAAACTTCTGAAGTCGAATTGGTAGTTGCGTAGCTTCTAGTGGGGGGACAGAAAGCTCTCAGATTTTATTAAAAAGATTCTTGTTTTTCAAAGATGAACGAAAGAAAGTCTTACGGGTTTGGAACGGCGTGAAGGTGAATGACAGAAATTTTATTTTTGGGTGAACTAACCCTTTAACTCCGTGGTGTAAATATGACCCCCTGTTGGCCAATAGAAAATTTGAAAGTTTTCAGGCTACATCTTAAGATTGTTTTTTTTAAATTAATTTACTTTTAAATATAGATAGATTAATATATTCAAAGATGACTAAGTGTCCACTGAGTTAAAAAAAATATATATATATAATTTCAGTTTTTAAATTAATGTGGGATCTGGATTTGACCAGTTTGATCCCTTTTGCTCAGGTGATGAAATAATCAGTTTACCGCATTTCTACAGTGACATCAGTTATGTAAAAGGTTTGCTGCATTTTCACTGCAAGTGCTGCAAATGAAACAAAAGTATGGACTGTGGTTCTGACCGTAAGCTTGTTGTTCCTCTCCCCCAGGCTGCTGTGAATCTGCCGCACAGGCCTCCTCTGCACTGCTCCAGCCTGATCCCACCGCTGTGCGTGTCTCTGCGCCTCCTCATGTGGGCTTGTCGGCTCAAGGACTCCTGGTGCTCCCTGCCCTGGATGCTGTTCATCTCGCTGACGTCACACCACATCCGCGACGGCGTCCGCCACGGCCTCTGGGTGTTTCCGTTCGGCAACACGGCGCCCATCTCCTATTGGCTGTACGTCACCATCACAGCCACCCTCCCTCACCTGTGCTCCGTGCTCATGTATCTGACCGGCACGAGAGACATGATCTCCACCAAACACGGAGTCGCCATAGACGTCTGATACACTGTCTTAATTGTGGATGTTTGTTCGTTTGTTTATGGTTCCCAGCACAAACGTGGCACTGGAAATATTTTATCAGCTCTTCTCTGCATCTTTGCCATTCCAACACTATTTGTCCTTTTTCCTTCAGAGATTTCCAGTCTGTTTGATACTTTTAACTACTGTAGTTGTTCAGGTATCAGTGTGAAATCAGGTTGCATTGACTGAAGACTGTGAATATTTTAATATGTGAGGTTTAGCTTTGGGCGAAGTTACATTCTAGATCTATTTTGCAGCATTTTTAGTACAAAATTTCCTATAAAATCGATCTCAGAGCAAGTAGAGAAGTGACAAGAAATTTTGCAGGTTTTTGACCAATTAATTAAGGAATTTCAGTGTATGTATGTAAATATACACACAGAAGTCAACATTTGAAGTGGATCAAAGCCTTTCACCAAAGTTATACATGAATTTTGAACAATACCTGTTCTTGTCTTAGAAGTTCGATACACTTTTGATCCACTTCACATTTTTGCTACTGGTACCCTGGTGGTTTTTTTTTTTTTTTTTTTTTTTTTTTTCATAGAAAAGGCCTCAAAATGCTCTACATATCTTCTGATCTGGAGCCAAATTCTCAGTTATAGTACTAGATAATATTTAATGTTGGTTAATATTTAAAAGATTCATTTTAGCCAGTATAGCAATAGTAATACCTACATAATGTATATTAAAACACCACCCAAAGGCTTCAGTGAGCGATTTGAGTGAAAAATATAAATAAGCAAATTGTTTGCATTATCAATCAATTTTTGCCAAAATAAAAGGCCTATTAGAGTCGCTTTCAAAACAAGCAGCTTTCTGTTGGCAAATCTGTATAACTAACTTAAATACTGGGAAATCTTTCAGCCTCTTGCAAATCCCGATCACTTCTATTACTGCTCATTAATGCCCATGATGATACTAGTTTACAGTAGTAGTTAACTTAAAAAAAAAAAAAAAAAAAACATTTGCTAATAATTTACTCGCCCCCATGTAATCCAAGAGGTCCATGTCATTCTTTCTTCAGTCGAAAAGAAATTAAGGTTTTTTGATGAAAACATTCCAGGATTTTTCTCCATATAATGGACTTCAATGGGAACCAAACGGTTCAAGGTCCAAAAGACAGTTTCAGCACAAACTGTTCAAAGAGCTTTAAACGATTTCAGACGATGGTAGCGGAATCATTGTCAATATTCGATAGATGGTCTTATCTAGCGAAACAATTGCTCTCTTTTTTTTTTAAAAAAGTAACAAAGTTTAAGTTTTATAAGCTAAAATGTTCGCCTTGCTCTGTTCTTTGATGCGTGACTCTCCTATTCAAACTCGTACATCAAAATGAATGAATCTTTTCCCGAGTCAACTCCAAATGAACCAAATGACGCGAAAAAAAGATTCGTTTGAGTTCGATCAGAAGAGTCACGAACGCGCATCACAGAAAAGAGCAAGGCGACCATTTGCTCTTATAAAACTTAAACTTTGTTACTTAAAAAAAAAAAAAAAATAGCAATATTTTCACTTGATAAGACCCTTATTCATCGTCTGAAATCGTTTAAAGCCCTTTGAACAGTTTGCAGTTTGCACTGAAAGTGTCTTTTGGACCTTGAACCGTTTGGTTCCCATTGAAGTCCATTATATCAGCATAAGTTTTTTTTTTTTTAAAAATGAACTACTCCTTTAAAAGTTGTAATGTTATTAATGCTATTGAAAAAATAAAGGACTTAAACTTGATGGTTAAATAAAATGTGCTTTTAAATCTAGTGCGCTTAATGTTGGTAGCGGAATCATTGTGAATATTCAATAGATGGTCAGGAGACGCCTTTATAACCCTTATTTGAAAGCTTCAGCATCGTGTTGTTCATATTAGACTTGTCTATTCAAACAATGGCATTTTATTGCATTGATTTTCCAGAGGAGCCACAGGCACGAGGCTGGATTCACACTCGACTCGCGATGCGTCATGCGTCCAGGAATAGGCATTGAGAATGGATGTGTGTGTTGATGGTCTTAGTGCTTGTGCGAGGTGATTTGGTGTTGTGTATTTGCAGTTGAAGGATGTGTTTCTCTTAGAAAAACACTGCTAACATGGAAAACTCCCTAAGGAATCGGATAACCTTTTAAAACAGTACAGAAATGCTTTCTGTTGCTAATGAAGATTATTGCTGCCTTTTTAGCCACAGGCTTCGGAATAACTGTAAATACTTGCCAACTTGGGTTTTATTTCCAAACCACTTGGAACTTTTTGAAATGATTAAATTAGAGCAGATATTAACCGTCTTTGTATGCAAACTGCAATTCTGCTTCTTGGCAATTAATCCAGCTCCACCGGTTCATTTTGGTTTTATTTAGTTGTTGTTTTAATACATATGTGAAGTGCAAACATGTTCCTGAAAGCTTCAGATCTTGGGACTCAACGCTCACCTCTGCTTTTTTCCTGGTCAAATTATTAATCAGACATTGTTCAATATTAGCATTTACAGTAAAGCGCATTGTTGAAGTTGGCATTGTGATGTACAATTTTTCTTATTATTTTATTTATTTTTTTTTGTAAACTTTGTTCTTAATATTTTTAATAGTGTACTAGGGTTATGTTGTGGCCAAAAATATTGATTCAATAATTTAATCTTTGTTTTCACGTTTTGTCTACATTCCCTGCACCCATTTCAAACAATTAATTTCCAATAAATGGACACAGTTTGTATTTGTCTGCTAAACTAATTCTCATCAAGATTATTTTAAGATTTTGAAAATGTCTGTTCAAACTTTTGTGTGAGTGTGTGAAATGCTGAGTTGATTTAAATGGATCAGGAAACACACATGTATTACTGTTGTCAAAAAGTTGATTGGCTTTGAGTAACTGCAGTGTACTGATAATTTGATTAGTGATAGTAATGCACATTTATTTATTATGGTACTAAGGGTAACAATGTTCAATAATAAACAGCAATTTCAAGAGGGTCCTCACGCCATCGGTGCTCGGGCCCTAAATATTTTTGGTTTGACTGGTTGAGTTGTCAAGGCCTTTTCAAACCCCCAGAGGGAGCTGTAGACCAACTCCAGAAAATGTGTTTTGTTTCTTTGTTTTAATTTTTTTGTAAGTGGTGTAAATATTTTATTTTTTATTATTTATATGCTTTTTTGCACTTAATAGAGTTTTGTCAATAATGTGATGTTTATGCATTGTCAAGAAATTACTGAAAGCATTATTTCTGTCACCAGGCACACTAAAGGTGCATTTGCACTCTTCTGTTGTAATTGGTTTCGTTCTTTATTTGTTGCTTCTGAAGCCTTTGGTTTTGAACAGCCGTGATGAAGCTTAATTATGTTTAGAAATGCTGTTGTCTTCTCGGGCATTTGTTTAAGAAAAACTTCACAGTTAAGTCAAGATAATGGTAGGGTAAGTTTGGAAAAGGTGCCACACTTAAAAACAGTGTGTGTTTACTGGTAAATTGTAACATTTCAAGATGAGTTCAGCATGTACAGGATGGTGATGCATCGTCCAATATGTTATTAAAGGGATAGAAAAGCACTGTCTTCATTTACTCACTCCCATGTACTTCCAAACCTGTATGATTTTCTGTGAAACACTTAAGATATTTTTTCAGTGCTAAACATTGGTGAGTAGGGTGAGTAAATGATGCCAGGACATAAGTTATGTTTTTGGGTGAACTATCTATCCCTTTAACGAATTTCAAATGGCAATAAACTATTAATTCAAGTTGAATCGTTCTACTTAATCAACGGTATAGGTTATGAATAATGATGTTTTGAAATATTATACCGGGACGCCTAAATTTACTTAACTATGTTTCTATTAAATCCTAATCTAAAGGTCTAAGACTTCTAAAGAGATATTCTACCCCTGTTTTGTGTTACAAATTATGTAGGAAGAGTAATTGATGAATTTATGACAAGAGTGCGCCTCAAAAAATCTGCATCATAACAGGAGTTTTGACCTTTGTCACAAAAAGTCGATGCACCCACTTTTAATCATTGAAACTTCTGTTTTTTATGCGAAAAGTTCATAATAAAACATAATACCTTGTATTTTTCAATAAAAAAAAAAAAATATAGTATAATATTATCCTCTAAAAATGATAATATTTATATATATTATCCTCTAAAATATATTATTTTTATCGCCTTTTTTATTATATCACACATTTTAGTAGTTATCATAAATTAGGTATCATTTGAAAGCTTATAAACTCAGAACTCATCGTGTGAAAACGGTTTTATAATTGAACGTTGTGTTACCATAGAAGCAGTACTTATTTTATCAGGCTCCTCCCCTTTTTGGCATCATTATATTTCAAAATTTATGATCAAAACCTTTTCTAATCTTGACAAAACACATATTTTCAGAAAGGTCTTAGTCTCAAGGTTCCAAATTTTGACAGAATTGATATTTGGACAGAAATGTATTAATTTGTTAAGGCAGAATGTATACAACTAAATTCAATGGAATTCAATGGCACCCGGTGGCTATTTTTGGTACAACGCCTAAACAAAATCTCATGGGAACTTCAATTTTTGTGAATCCAACTTCAAATTTGGAACATAACTTGGTTAGATTTATGGCTTTGATTTTATAGTAATTTTAGGGTAAAAAATATTTGTAAAATATACATTTTATATAAAATACAAAATATATAGTACAGTATAGTTGATTATTTACTGTCAATTTAAACTTCCATAACTTTTTCATGCTTTCATTTAAAGTGTTTTCTTTAAAACAAGACCAAACTTGGGTATATATTCCAAAGCATTCTAAAATTAAAACCATTTAAGTTTGAATAGTGCATTTTAAGCCCCATTCTCAAAAAGGGGGGTGACGGCTAAGGGGTTAAAATAATGAACACTGTGAAAGCATCTAAATATGTCCACATTATTATACTTCAAATATCACCTACTACTATTACTACTATAATATTCTAATATCACATTTAATAGTGTGTAATATACCTGTTAGTGAATGTAAAAGATCAAGATGCAGGTTTTGTGTCCAAAAAAAATTAAAAAATGCTGAATTGTCTGAAAAGAGTCGTCAGTAATTCTAGTCTTTCTTCTTGCTCTAATCTATATAGGTTTGTTACAAATTTGCATAAAGCTGCTTCAGTGGCCTATGAACAACTTTTTTCTTTGACCTGCCCTCAAACACTAGCTTTAGCTGGGACTGGAAGAGTTTGGTTTGTGTTGTCGACGACATGTCAACCAATGGATGAGGACTTTCTTAAATTGATACAGCAAAACAGAGTGTTCATACCAGTGGGTATCAAAATCTGAGGAAGAGCCGGAGCTGAAATTCAGTTGTATGGGCGTTTGGTTGTAAGTGAAAGACCAATCACAACAGACTGGTTTATCTGACCAATCAAAGGAGAGTCGACCAATCACAACAGACTGGGTCATCTGACCAATCAGAGCAGAGTAGTTAATCACAACATACTGGGCCATCTGACCAATCAGAGCAGAGTAAACTAATCACAACAGACTGGTTCATCTGACCAATCAGAGCAGAGTAGATAATCATAACAGACTGGGCCATCTGACCAATCAGAGCAGAGTAGATAATCATAAAAGACTGGGCCATCTGACCAATCAGAGCAGAGTAGACCAATCACAACAAACTGGGCCATCTGATCAATCAAAGCAGAGTAGACCAATCATATGAGACTGGATCATTTGACCAATCATAGCAGAGTAGACCAATCACAACAGACTGGGCCATCTTACCAATCAGAGCAGAGTAGACCAATCATAACAGACTGGGCCATCTGACCAATCAGAACAGAGTAGATAATCATAACAGACTGGGTCATCTGACCAATCAGAGCAGAGTAGACCAATCACAACAGACTTGGGCCATCTGACCAATCAGAACAGAGTAGATAATCATAACAGACTGGGTCATTTGACCAATTCACAGCAGAGTAGACCAATCACAACAGACAGGGCCATCTGACCAATCAGAACAGAGTAGATAATCATAACAGACTGGGCCCTCTGACGGTTTCACTTTATCTACATCTCTAATAGAGTATTCAGCCCGTTCTCATCCAAATGCGTCATATACCGATGCTTTTGCCAAAGCGTATACATCCAATGCACATGGCACCCTTTAGCGTCAATATAAGACGCAGATATATAAGGGCCAGAAGGCGCCTCCTAGTGGTCTAACCCTACCCCAGACCTAAACCTACCCTTAACCAAAGCGTGTTATATTGATGCCATGTGCGTTGAATGTATACGTATTGTCAAAAGCGTCACTATATGACGCCCTAGGATGAGAATGCATTCGAGTATTAGTAGACTGGTAGGGTTAGGGATAGAATAAGTTGACATGTAGTTGCAAAGTTACTTATAGTTAGTAGATTGTCTGTTGGAGGAGCATCACAATAAAGAGTTGGCAGATGTTAAGCAGACAGTCTACTAATACTCTAATGAAAGTTAGTTGACATGTATTTGCCGAGCGCCTGGCTTTTTTTACTGGTCGCCGAGAGTTGTATAATGTTTAACTTTGGATAAAACGCAGCGCTCATCACTGTCACTTTTTACCCAGCCGTCCAATCACAGTGGAGGAAGGGCGGGACTAATACCACACTGACCAACTGTCACAACATTCTCTCAGTACATCTACATCAACCAGCAGAACTAAACGAACAAAACGCACGAAAAATAAATTTTTGGTATAAAAAATTATCTGCGAAATCATTTACAAGTAAACTGTGCTGCAGATATTCTGTATCATAGCAACGAAACGTCTCAACAGAAAAAACGCTGTGCTGCCAAAGCGCTCTCAAGCGCCCAAAGCACGGTGTCTTCAGCAGAGCGTCTAGCGTTTTCAGATGCCTAAAAATGCTTTGGTGGACACACGGCCTTATAGTCAACAGAATGCTCAAAAGGGACCATCAAAATAAAGTGTTACCCAACTGACCAATCAGAGCAGAGTAGACCAATCATGTATACATGTATAGTCTATATAAGATAAGATATAAGATAAGATAGGATATAAGATAAGATATAAGATAATGTATATTATGAGAAAAATGATTATTTTCTGACCTTGGTTGCAAAAAAAATAAATAAATAAGGAACCTTTAATATCTTTAATCTAAACATTAAATCAGTGGCAATTTTATGTTAAAGTGTGTATAAATGTGTCGCGAGGAATCTTTATCTATTGCTATTAACATTATTTAAAACACCAAATCAGGGTCTTAATATGCAGCATAAATGATCCAGAAGAACAAGTAAATATTAGGACTATATCATTTAAAGTCAGTATAACATGTAAATCCCAACAGACTTCAAATCGCCACACTCAAATATTGGAGGTATATTATTTTACCAAATCCTTGGCCGAGTAACAGCAGGCTAATTTTGCTGTATAAACTCAATGAGCAACTAAATCCCTTGCCTGATTTTCATGATTAAATATTTGTAAATTGGTTGGAAGCGAGTCGCTGAATTTTCCCGTGGAAACAAACTGACAGTATCAGTGAAAAGATCTGTCACCGATCCATGACTACAGTTGTTCTTCACGTAAGAAAATCATACACACTTTATCTTCACATAAAATAACTTTTATTTCACAAAAATATAAACAGGGGAATAATAAAACAGCTTATGTTGTACAGAAAAATATACTATATACATTTACTGTGGACGCCTTTGTGTTCACCTTTCCCTCTTTAACAGGCAACAGTAGTCCATCCCAATACATCTGGATTTGACAATGCATGCAACATTATAAAAAAAAAGCAAAAAGCAAACGGGAAATATACATATTTTTCTCCAAGAGCCTGTCCTGCTTGAAGTATATTCTCTCCATCCTGCCAGGAACAGAGGATTTCTCATCAATCGGTTTGTTTCCTTTGGTTGGTGTTTCTGGAATCTCCTCAAACTCGATGGTCAGTGTGGAGTGACTATAACTGCACGCCAGGCCAATAACATGCCATTAATGTGCCACTTTATAGACACAGTTATACGATAGAGGTCTAAAAATAAACAAAAATCTGATATTTTTGGCCTGTTGTAGTGTTCGGACGCTTTACTGAAGTGGTTCTCAACACAGCTGCAACAAAACCACGTGGATATCGATTGCAATCAATTGGTGTTTTAGTGAAAATCCACACACTAGACAGACATAAAATTGAGGCGAGAACATCAATGCGACCCAGGCCACATTAAATATGTATTTGCAATGAGGATAAACATAATTTGTGGGGCTCAGTTTTATGGTTCCCAAGAGCACAGAAATGTTCAGTTTTATAGTTATATTAATACATTTCAATGTTTGATTTTAATCATTTTTGTTTAGTTTGTAAGATAAACAATTTGGTACTGCGTTGGGCGCCACATGAAGTCATGGAGCAAAACCAGTTGAGAACCACCAATTTTACTGAATGTTGATAATCCTCATATAAACTAAATCAAAAAATGCAGTCTTGAATAACACTAACCAAATCTATGTGCTCTCAACATGCCAGACAACTTCAACCAAAGCAGGGAAGGAAGAAAATATGACCAACTAAACGTTAAAACCAAGAGTGTCAAGTCTCAAATATGAATGACTGACAAAACCAAACCAGTCTTTGTTTTTTGCATTGGAAAATATTTTATGATGCATAGGTTGGAGAAGCAAAATCTATTTCAAAGGGTATATCATAACAGCACAGATCCCAGTCAGTAAAAAGCCAGTCAGTAAAAGCTCTACAAATACACAAATCATCTTGCTGGTGGAAAGGAAACAGGCAAAAAAAAAAAAAAAAAAAAAAAGAAAATGGTGCAAAAATGCATAAAGATACACTCAAAAATGATATGTTGCCTTTAATTAACTTTTTTATGTCAACAGGTTCCACATAACTGGGTTACGTTAAATAAACATGTATGTAACTTCAACATAATGGAATTAAGTAGTTTTAAGCGATGAACACTGAAGCAGTGTTAAAGTTAATGAGATAATGTGAATAATTGAGGGATGATTGATCATTATTGAAGACACCTGATGGAGTTTGCCATTATGGTGATCAATGTGTGTTTTAATTGGGCTCTTAATCAACTTTAACATTGCTTTAGTGTTCATTTAACACTGCTCAGAGCTTAATTGGGACGCTTAAAATGAATTATTCCTTGATGTTGAAGTTACAAGAACAAATTATGTTTGTTTAACATAATCCAGTTGTGTGGAACCTGTTGACATAAAAAAAAAAAAGTTCAATAAGGCCAACATATCATTTTTTTTGAGTGCATGTTAAAAAAAAAAAAAATAAATAAAACACCTGGCAAACTTCTTCAGTTAATATTTATGCCAGGTTCAGACTTCAGACATATTTCTGTCTGTTATGATAGTGACTGTGTCAGATTATACGATGTTCCTAAATTCTTGTCGTGTCGTGGTCGGTCAGACTACACATTGCTTCCCAACCAACCATCGCCTGTCGTTTTTAGCAACGTGTGTGATGTCATTGAGGTGGAACTAGCGACTGACTTCTAGAAACAAGAACGTAAACAATAGCCACCGTTAGCATAATGCTAATTCCACAACTCACCCTGTTTCTAAGGTGGCGAACGATGTGGAAGCGCTTCAGAAACTGTGTGAGTTCTCGAATTAGCATTAAGCTAACGCGCTGCCTTAAGGAAACATAATAAAGGCAAGAGTATTGTCGATATATAGTAGCATAATTAAACATGCTAGTTTTTGGCTGTGTCCCCTATACCCTTAAATAGGGAACTATTTGAGGGAATCAGCCATTTGTAGTGATGTCCGAAACAATAGTGTATGTTATCGAGTACACTCATTCAATCCCATAATACACCACAATAAGGAGTGTACAACCAATGTATGCTCAACAGCTAGCTAGAGAATACCCATAATGCACTGTGAGAGTCCGATTCTTGCGTTTATGACGCCCATTTTTGTTTATGAATCACCAACACACTACGTCAAACGGATCGAGCCAAAATCACGTACTCTGAATCCGACGTTAAAAGAAATTATCACAGTGACATCTTAACAAATATTACAAAAAATTGCCCAAGTTATTTTCAATTGCTTTGGAGATAGTAACTTATATATAACACAATAACCATTTTATGACTCTGTTTGGACAATGTTCATTATGTTTGTTATAGGAAGGATACGTACTGTATGCTAAAATCTTATAATTCAATAAAATCATACATTTTAAAAGAATTACAAAATAAACGCATGCATTGAGCTTTATGACACTGGAGAGCAATGTACAACATAGCAGTATGCTGTGTGGAAACTATTATACAGTATAACTGCATAGATGTATAACAAACAATATAACTTTATAGAATTTAATATCGCGGATATCTATTAGCTTCCACAGAAACAGTCAGCTTTAATAGCCTTACAAATGTGTATATGTGACATCGTAAGACTGATTTACATTCATGTCTCGATTCAATGCTTTTATAAAGGAAAGTCAGAGAAATTGAATGCATTTGTTGCATTGAAGGGCATTTTTTGGGGCGAGTTGAACACCAGCTCACCGAAAGTTTTGAATCGTTACTGGCGTAAACTTTCAAAACATGAACTCGTGATGAAAATGCATTTTTACGGGAGTTATTACCGAGAACTTGAGGCTGGCTGGAAGCTAACCAGACCAAAACAATCAACTGCAGATGCGTCCACCTGTCATTAACTTCGTTTCTTGTGGAGAGATTTCGCAAGAAAAAAAAGACAAAGCCGTCTTTGTGTCGTCCATCGTTGGAGTGCCAAGAGTTTCTGTCTTCCAAAGATAGCAGCTGTCTAAAGTTATACAGAGTGTCTTTTTCGCCAGACGAGTGAGTTTGAGGACTGAAACACTGACGAAGACACTTTCTCCATAATGCCCCGTATGCTGCGCACAAAGCCAAGACTTTTCACAGCGTTCCATGCGTCCCCAGTGGAGAATATCGGGAAGAAGGAATTACACAAAAATATGTTTTTCATTTACCGTCAGCAGAAGAAAGCAAAGAGACAAAGAAATCCTTGTGTTTTTCCATTGCGTTGTGCTACATTGTAGACTGTACATGTTCACAGTTGACGTCCCTCAGAGCTCTGCTGAGAGGAGAGGTGTATTGTGGGTAACGGAGTCTGTCAGCTGTGGTGGCAGTGGTGGTGGTTCCCTATACTGATGCCCTATGAGGGCTGACCTGGAGACGGACAACTTCTCAAATCTAGAGTTAAACGACAAAAGTTAAACGAACAACAGTTAAAAGAAATTAATGCTTTTATTCAGCAAGCATTCATTGAATTGATCAAAAGTAATGAGATATATATATATATATATATATATATATTTTTTTTTTTAATAAATAAATTTTGTTATGCGTCACAACCAGCACATTAAACAGCACTGTTGTCACCATTGATAATAATAAGAATTAATAGTTATTTTAAATTGTCATAATATTTCACAATACCACTTTTTACTGTATTTTTGATGAAATAAATGCAGACTTGAGTGAGTGAGTGAGTGAGTTTATGAAAGCTCATTTCTGCCATGGAATAAAAAAAAATAAAAAGAAGGTAATTTTGACTTTTTATCTGAAAAAGAGTCAGAATTGGGAGAAACAAACTCGCAATTTGAGAGAAAAAGTCAGAAGTGTCAGATATAAACTCATTGAGTTACTAGAGAAAAAGTCAGAATTGTGAAATAAAAAGGAAATTACTATTTTTATTTTAGTTTAGGGGTGTCAAACGATTAATCGCATCCAAATAAAAGTTTGTGTTTACATAATATATGTGTGTGTGCACTCTGTATAATTATATATATATATATATATATAAATACGCACACATGCATGTATATTTAAGAAAAAAAATATTATTTATATATGAAATATTTATATTTATATATAATATAAATTATATATAAATATATACAGTATATTCATGAAAATATTTCTTTAATATATACTGTACAAGCATGTGTATGTATTTATATATATAAAATAATTATACACAGTGCACCCACATATATTATGTAAACACAAACTTTTATTTTGGATGCGATTAATCGTGATTAATCGCGATTAATCGTTTGACAGCCCTATTTTATTTATAAGCTTCCATATAAGAGACTTTCAAAAAAAAAAAAAACTGAATGACCCCAAATGTTTAATTGGTAGTGTATTTTGTATTTACTTTGATATTTTATATTTTCTTTAAAAAAATATATATCATTTATTTATCAACCCTCATATCTTTTGAAACATGAATGCTGTTTTTTTTTCACCATAAAAAATATATAAACAACAGCATACAGATTGGAATGACATGAGAGTGAGTAAATAATGACATAATGTTCATTTTCATTGAAGTATTAATCATTACACCATGTGCGAGAGTTTGGAAGATTACAGGCTAATCTAGAGCAGACATTTCTCATATAAATCATCATATTCACATCTTTCCCCACTAGACTCACAAATTTAGATCTGAAGACGTATGAAAAGACGCAAAGTTCAAAGTGAAATATGCTGTTTATGTCTTAGCATTACTAATTTACAACTTTCAGAGCTCATATAAAGTAGACTACAAACTAGCTATTACTGTAAATGGACCATGTACTACAAGCTCTATAATATTAATAAGCAAAGTTTTTGTCCTAATCAATAATGGCAAATGAAAATATGTGGCCAATTTTGAGAGCATAATCACTTACTGTACTTACATCCATCCTTATTCATAAAACATCAGCAGAACCAATTTCTGTAAATCACATGTAAGATCAATTCTATGATCTCATTCAGTTCAAGTTGATTTGACCAATCACTGAGTTGCACCCCCTGATTCACGTTCAGGTCGGATTGTTTAATTTCTACAATACATTCACTATGATAATGTGAACGTTTTAGCTGCCATTAATGTTTCTCTCTTATGAACAACTTGGCTGAGATGTGATGCTAGAAAATACAGAATCAGAGGTTTTTGTCTTGACTTGTTTGTAAATTACTATCTCCAAACACGTTTCTCGCACAAGTCCTGTGGTCTATCTGCAAACCACACTAAATGACAGTAGAGAGCTATTTAAATGTAGCAGCTCAACAACAATAACATAAACACAGAGACCTTGTTGACAGAGATTTCCTACCAATAAAACATCAATAATCGGGTTAAGCTATTTTTTTTTTTTTTGTTCATTGCCGCAAAATACGAAAACATTGATTTGGTTATAACTATGTCAAGCACTGCAAGTTCAGGAGTGACTATTATATTCTGTAAACACCTGAAACTATAAATTAGAGGATTCACTCAAACATTTATTATGTGCAGTGTGTATTTGGCGCCCCTTGAAGAAAAGGAAATTCAAGAAATAGTATAGTTGGTTTTGTTGACTGCAGTTTGTTTTCTATGCAGTAAAAATGGAAGGCTGGACACTGATGATATACTCCAAGCATCAACATAGTAACCATAAATGGATCGTTTAACATGCAGTTTCTTCCAGACTGTTTAAACCGAGATGGGCCAATCGCCAGAACAGCAGACGCAAGGAATGTACGAATGGAGACAGAAGTCTGAGCCAGCTTACTTCAGATCGGGATGGACTTCATCTTCACCATGTAAGTCAGTTCCTGTTTCTTCACATTGTCTTGTTTCCTTTGCCTCACCCTATGAAAGGAACAGTTAAGAGATCAATAAATTAATTGTCTTTGTTATAAAGCTGCAACCGATTTTTTTTTAATGGATTTAGATAAATTTAGTTAATATATAGATAAATGTAGCACAATTCTCACCATATAAGCATGATGATAGTTAATAACACAGCCACCATGACCCCTGCAAACAGCCCCAGCAAAACCAACAGACCGAGGCTTCCGTTCGAGTGTAATGAATCTAAGGAAAAAATAAAACAAAACACATGAACAAAAAACCAATAAACAACACATACAACAAAAAAACACACCACTAAACACACAAAATATACAATGAAACACAACACAGTCAAAAAACAACACACAGACATAACACAAAACCAAACACAACGCACAAAACACAAAGCACAAAAAAACACAAAACATAAAATAAAACGACACAAAACAAAGAAAAAGCAAAAAATACGCAAAACAAAATAGTTTTTTTTTGTTTTCACACAAAACGAAACACAAAAACGCATCACAAAACAAAAAAACAAACATAAGACAACAAAAAACATTAAACAAATGCAAAAAAAAAACATACAACAAAAAACACAATGCCCAAACAAAAAACAAACATACAACTAAAAACAAACAATAAAATAAAGCACAAAAAACCCACAAAACATAAAACGAAACAAAACACATCACACAAAACAAAAAACAAACACACGAAACAATACAAATTAAAAAAAAAATAATAGTAATAATAATAATTAAGTGAAAAAGAAAATAAATAAATAATAGTAAATAAGTGAAAAGAAAATAATTTTCTTTTTCACTTAATTATTATTTATTTATTTATTTTTAATTTTTGGGTATTAGTTGTACAAATGTAATACACAGTAACATTTAAAAAAAATACCAGCAAATGAATAAACATCAATGTTTATCTAGATTACAGTACATTTGTACAACTAATACCAAAAACGGAAATAAATAAATAATAGTAATTAAGTGAAAAAGATAATTTTCCTTTTTTGGTATTAGTTGTACAAATGTAATCTAGATAAACATTGTTCCCAGTAAATGTTAGTGTGTATTACATTTGTACAACTAATAATAAATAAATAAATAAAAATAAATAATAAATAAATAAATAATAATTAAGTGAAAAAGAAAATTATTTTCTTTTTCACTTAATTATTATTATTTATTTATTTTTCAATTTGTATTGTTTTGTGTGTTTGTTTTTTGTTTTGTTTGTTGTGTTTTGTTTCGTTTTATGTTTTGCGGGTTTTTTGCGCTTTATTTTGTGTTTTGTCTTGTTTCATTTTATTTTATTTTTTTGTTGTATGTTTGTTGTTTGTAATACAATTACACAGTAACATTTATGGGAAAAAAAAAAAATACCAGCAAATCAATAAACATCAATATTTATTTAGATGAATATTGGTGTTTATTGATTTGCTGGTATTTTTTCCCGTAAATGTTACTGTGTATTACATTTGTACAACTAATACCAAAAAAAGAAAAAAATATTAATAAATAAATTATAATAATGATGATTTCCTCCTTTTTCTTAAAACGTGATTTCATTTCAATACATTTATTATTTGCCCTGCTGTCTAGTCTACATCCCTAAACTACATTATTATATTGGCATTTTTAGCAAAAAGTTGGTTTGAGTATTTTTAGGTCAAATGTATTTACTTCCAGCCTTGAGCTGATGTGACTCTTGCAATTGTACAGCATGTAAACATGCTAGATGAGTAGTTATAATTAAACAACCTGGAAACAGTTAGCTAATGAAGAGCCGAATGAGTCATGCTGGCGTCTGCCACGCATTACGGGAGCTTTGATTGGTCAAGGCCAGATGATGGGGGAAACTCCGCCCACCACAAACAAGACCAAACCATCTGGATAACATTTAGGGGGTGAAAAAAAAAAAAATCTGGCCAAGATCTCAAATACATCTGATACTTTGTTGATCTATACAATTCCATGCCAAGACTTCTCAGTTACTGAACAAAAAGATTATTTATTGCAAAATGCATTTTTAACAAAATAAATAAAACATATGGAGAATGAAACTGCAAAGCAAATACCTGGGGACTTGCCTGTTGTCCTCACAAGAGATGACAAATTGTCAAATGGATAGCTAAAATCTGGTTCCTCCGTTGGCTCTTCCCAAGGCTCTAAAATTGCAAAACAAATATAATTATATATATTTATACTACTTCTGAATTATTCATGACCAGCTCCCCTCAAAAGTCCTGTCAGAATATGTTTTCCTCAACCGTTTTCCACTGAGGATCCAACACTCATCATTTAAACTGCATTCATACAGTGGACAGCACACACACGTTTACTGTCTGAGGACAAACAATATAATGCTGGTACTTTTGCATAGTACAGTAAGGCTGACACAGATAGACTGCTCCATTTCAACACACTGTGTTCTACACAGCAAACCACAAGACATGTTTCATCAGCAGATCTGCTGAACATCTAATATAATTATCATCCTTTATTAGATTGATCAGATATCTGCCTTCGAACACAGTCTATTATCCTGATGAATAGAAGTTGTGATATTATTTGATTTACACTATTATTACATTAGTTATGGGGAATATATGGTTTTGATTCATACCTACGCATTTTTTTTTTGTTAATTCCACTGGGAAAAAAAAGAAGCAGCAAATTATACGGAAAATAACTACATGTTTTATAGTACTTTTCTGTTGTTTTTATTTATCTAAAACTGTTAAACATAGTGACTGATTTCACTAGACTAGTTTATTTTGAACATTATGGTGTGAAAAATTAAATATATAGAAATATTTGTAATTTGTGTGGGTGTGTGCGTGTGTGTGTACTGACCGATCCAGGGCCGGGCCTCCACCACATGGCTCCACTCACTCCATTGGCTGTGGTTGATCAGGGCGTCCTGAGCTCGGATCTGGATCTGATGAGAGTGACCCTCCAGAGCATCCATGATCTTCAGACTTGTGTTCTCCTCCGTCTCCAGCTGAGGGATGATACACATACTTAACAAAGGAGACTGAGTTCAATGACGCTTTAATGATGATCATAAAATTTAGTGACGAAATTATGTATATATACACTACCGTTCAAAATGTTCAGAAAACATCACTTAGTGTGATTTATAAGCTGTCTTCCTCATGGAGACCAAAACATTTTCCCACAAGGACAAGGTATTTAGGATATTGCCATATGTGTGGGGGCAATTTGTCCACATAATGTAGGATTTACCAGGACACACACACACACAGGGATCTAAAGACAGCCAACATCTGGTTGTCTGATGAAAGGCCAAGCTGCCTGGTGAAAGCTGATAAGATCAGCCCATGACTGTGGGGCTCTGAGATATGAGAGCAGTGTGTGTGTGTGTGTGTGTGTCAGGATTGTCAGGCAGTTATATCTCCTGTTCTGATGTTCATTGTTACTGTATAGACCATTTTGCAAGATGTAAACAACACTGGTCCAGAAACACTTCCTGTTTCAGTTTGTAACTGTTTGTAAAGAAAATATCTTAAAGATGTTTGTTTAACTTTTTGATTCAGTTTTATCTGTTCTGTTGGTTTTATTTTATCCCAGCTTTTATGTAGCGTTAAACAACTGAAACAGGAAGTGCTTCTGGACCAGTGTTGTTTACATCTTGCAAAATGGTCTATAAGGTTCTTACCGTTGACCAGAAGCTGGAGCCGATCGGCCGGTAGTGCAGTTGGTATGTCAAGGGAAACATGCTATCAGACGGCCAGGATGAAGGACCACTCCAGTGGACCAATAACTGTGTGGGCTGACCTTCCAAAGGAAGAACTCGAACATCCTCCGGAGGATCCGGTTTTACTGAAGCCACATAATAAAAGACATGAATTCTTATTAAGCAGAGCAGGGGAAAAAAAAGATTCCGAAACCAAATGCTGCTCACTGATTACTCATCCAGGCTGGAAAGAGGACATATGAATATGATAAGAAAAACTTACAGAGTTCATGAGCATCTATTTGGACAATGGTGGAGTTGGATCCCAGCGGGTTGATTTGGGTGATGTTTACCAGGACCTTCGAGTTGCTCCAGAACTGTGGGTCAGTAATGGTGCACTCGTTCACACCAATGTGCTTCTGCTCGCAGGGTTCGACCCCTCGGCCACTGTATACAACACTGTATACAACAGCGGAAAAAAACAGTGAAGGGAGTGAAGCTCAAAAGCTTGCATTTGTTTGATCAAAAATACAGTAAAAACTGTAATATTGTAAAATACCATTACAATTTAAAAGAACGGTTTTAGATGTTAATATTGTAAAATGTAATTTATTCCTGAATTTTCAGCATCTTTAATCCAGTCATCAGTGTCACATGATCTTTCAGAAATCATTATTTTATGATGATTTGATGCTCCAGAAAATGTTATTATTATCAATGTTGAAAACAGTTGAACTGCTTCATATATTAATAACATCGTTTTTTTTTTTTTTTCAGGATTCTTTGTAAAGTGGAAAGTTCTTTGAAAAAGTTGCTAACTAAGCATATTAATTTCTTACTTTATATAGACTGTATCACTAAATAATATTTAATATAAATAATATATATATATATATATATATATATATATATATAATAGTTCAGATGCAAAAGCCTCTAAATGCAATTTGAAATTTTCTTCTAGAATGATCATTTTTATCAAGCTTATATATTCAAGTTCAGTAATTTCACTTAAATGACAATTAATAGGTAATCTTCATTGCAATTTGAGTGAAATTACTGAACTTAAACATACAAGCTTGATAAAAATGATCATTCTAGAAGAAAATTTCAAATGGCACTTAGAGGCTTTTGCATCTGAACTCTTCATATATATATATATATATATATATATATATATATATATATATATAATTAATAATTCAATACACATTTATTTATCAAAAGTCCACATAACAATTTAGAGAGATCTTTTTTCAGAGAGAACTGACTAAGTTATGTATTTCAGAAATGTACATATACAAAATCACATTTAGTTTATTTTTTATTTATTTAAATAATGTAATAATTTAAGGCAGAAACAATGAGCTCATTAAAGTAATGAATACTTGTTTGTTAACAAATGATTGACAGAAATATGTGGCAATGGAGCATGTTTATATCTATATATATATATATATATATACTTATATTATATTACAGTTTTATACAGCCCAAGATGAGACTGCACCTGTAGGAGGTTCTGTAGATTGTGGGCAGGTGTGTTGTCTTAGTTTCTACCCAGGAGCAGTGGATTTTCATAAGATTCGGTACCTGGCAAGAAACACTGACGAAATGAGGCGGATCTAAAAAGGAGAAGAAAACAAAAAATATAGCTGCGAGCAGCGATGAAGGGCCCAAGCCGGTGGCACCGCAACCCCGGTTCCTTAGTTACCTAAAAGCACCAGGGTGGCCATGCCACTGGCTTTGGCCCTTCATCGCGGATCACAGCTATATATATATATATATATATATATATACTGTATATATACATATATATATGAAGCCGGTGGCACCGCCACCCTGGTGCCTTTAGGTTTATTGTGCACGACATGCAAAATGTAACCCTGCTTTGACTGATGCAAGCTCTACAGCACAGTTTATAGTAAGAAAGAATATAGTAAGAAAGAAAAGTAAGCTGTTACTCTGAGATGGTTTGGGAAACAAACATTCATCATGTCGCATTGGTTTTAGTTACTTGTCCTCAAACAGAGCCCTACTCTGTTTATATTTCAGTTACACATTCTACATTGATTAAAAAAGAAAAATCAAATGTGTTTTTAATTGATACAGAAATAAAATATTTATAATTCAGCTGAGAATAAAGTTAGTTCAAATTTTAAGAAAAACAAATATATGATCTGAAATATAGCACATTCATTTTTAAATTCATTCAGGTTCAATTACCAAAAATACAATCTTAATTTAATTTAAAGCAAATAATAAATAATAAAAAATATATGGGTTATATGCATATTTTGTAAAAAAAGAAAGAAAGATATATATCCAAAAACACAAGGCCTTAAACTTTAACAAGGGTGCAACTCTTTTCACTACAACAAACATAGTCACACACACAAGTCAAGTCACTTACATTTTATATGCAATATTGACTTTTTAGATGCAATATTGACTTTTTTCTGTTTCAGCAGAGAAAATAGTTAAACAAAGATCACAGCGACCCATCGCGCATCTCAAAGCAATGTGTTTTCTCATTACTGAATGATTCAGCATTTTGAATCCATGACTCGTTCATTAAGACGGTCATCTGGCGACACCTTATGGTGATTTAGGGTTATGTTTAAAAGTATCGTTCTTTACAGCGATTTTTAATTGACTCCTGTTAAAACCAATCTCGTAACATTATTGTGTAACCGATTTAATTTGATCAGCCTTACCTAGGGTAACAGCCCTATAGTGTCTTATTATTCTAAATTATTGAATTTATTGATCAAATTTACTAATGAAAAATGAAGCATACATTTATTAAGACTAGGCTGCCCTGCAGATATTAGGCTACAATATGCAGATTTAAATATACCATTTATCAAATAATCTGTTTATTTTTAGGTTACACATTACATTGTTTAAAAAATAAAAATCAAATGTGACCCGCTCTGGCGAAATGAGTCGGAAGTTGCAACCTTCCATTTTAAGATATGGGCCGATTATGTGGAAAAACCATGAAATAATAAAAAAAAAAAAAAAAAATTTTTTTTTGCTAATTTCAAAGAACAGACATTCAAAAATAATCTCACAGGGTTTCGTAGTCGAGATAATTGAGTAAAGGTATTTAAATAACGATTAAAGTTGTCAAAGCTTTAAATTCGCTGAAATAAACATTGCTCTTCTCAACTCCCTTCGTCACCTCTGAGCATTTCCTATCCCCTGAAACGTTGAACTCACTGGAGGCGTCTAACCTAAACTGCGTGAGTATATTTATCTGCAAGAAGAATATAGCCTATGTAAGGCTGTAACGATCGCGACACTCAGATCCACGAACCTGTGTCGCGGTGTGAGAAGACAGAATCACGACACCGACACGTCCCTTCAACTCCCGAAGTTATCCTTCACGTCCAGACCCAATGCTAGCTACAACATCTTTAAATTACTAGGCTATTAGTATTATTTGAAGTTAACATTATAAAATACGTAGACTTACACCACAAAACTTAAATTATTACTAATTTTTTTTTTAAATTGGGCAATTTCAGCATTATGGAGGAGATCCAATTCCCAGATAATTAAATATTTTAATAAATTGGCCTATGTGAACCACACTGCACAAACCAAAAGTAATACTCACCCGATGAAGAAGGGTTGACTCTCTCCAGAACATAAAATCTTTATTTTATTTTCCGTGTTCGCATTTATGAGGAAAAACAATCCGAACGTGACCGTTCTCTGGAAGCAGCACTAAAACTTTCACATAGCTTAAACATGCAAGCACAAAGCCTTTCTTTAAAGTAATTTCGTTTTAAAATAATTATCTTAATTTAAATCAATGTTTCATCAACCAATTACTAGGATTTAATAATAAGAAATAAATTGCAGACAATAGGCTAGGCCTAATCACGACGCGGAGACGCGCGGCACGTGAACTGAAGCTTGTCTCATGAACCGAAAGTCAGCGTATAAGGTATCCTCACAGACATATATATTGAAATGTCTACTTTTAAAGACAACCATTCAAAATGAAAGAAAAACAGACTGCTCTCTGCTTATGTGGGCTAATCCGTATGAAAACTGAATTTCTCTCTGACTCCTCTTTAATCTTTCTGATTTTAGAACATTTTTGTAAAAGTGACTTTTTAATTATTTATTTCAAAAAAATTAAAAATAAGTTGAGTTTCAGCCTCGTTAAATTGCATTTATATATGTTAATCTATTTGGTCAAATTAAGCTATATAAAATAAATAGTTTATCCCTTAAAATGCTATGGATTTTGAAAGATATCAAAAAAAAAAAAAAAAAAAAGCGATTTTCTTAGGTTTTCAATTGGAAAAAAAAGGGCAGACGACCAGAATTCAAATCTGAATATCGTTACAACCATTCAAGGTATGACCAAGGTATCATTTGAAAGCTTACAGTGTCCTCTTTCCATTAATATCAAAATCTCAATTTTTAAATTTGGGTCACTGTGACTAATTTTGCTGGATCAGGTCGGTCACAAATGTGTTTTTTATTGTAGTATTATTTTATACAGAAATACATTATAAATTATATATAATATACAAAATATAACCGTGGGCGCGATTAAACAGTGTTACAATAAAACTCAACATTGTGTTTTTTAAAAATAAATTCAAATAATACAAATCCCGAAATTGCGCTAATTTTAAAAATTAA